TTCAAATTATAGATGAATATACCGAGTTTTTTTTATACGAGCGACTTTCGGTACTATTCTGCAAAACTATTATCTCTGCTTGAAATATAAAAATTTTTCTATTTTTCTGAGATGCGAGTAATTCAAAATTTGATAATGATTTTTTTCTTTGACCTCTTCGCGTGGCTAGATAGAGCTTGTGGCGTTCTACAAGAACATGTATATTGAAAAATTTTTACACCTTCTCTTTGAGGCGAAATTTACAGAGAGCTACTAAAGAAAGACTACATAATTAAAAACGAAGACACTGCATAATGTTCTACTTGCACCTCACAAAAACAGCAAATTTTTTGTATTTCAAGCAAAGGTAATAGTATTGCAGAATAGTATCGAAAGTAGCTCGTATAAATAAAAACTTGGTATATTCGTCTACAATTTATTGATAATGTTCAATGAAACAGCTAAGATATATGAAAAACATTTTGGTAGATGATTTTCTGGATACCCTGTCATTAATGGATATATAATCTGTTAGTCTTTTTCTTTATATTTAGTTTTTATTTACAAGCATATCATGTCGAATAATTCAACAATGAATCAGAACGAACAACAATACCACGTGATAAAATATCTTTTTGACAAATTAGAAAACTACGCGCATAAATCGGATCTGTGGCGTTTAATTCATTCTTCACATCTTCGTCGCAGTCTTCTTCGCAGATCTGAACGAGTTTCAAAGATATACTCAATATCAGAAGATCTTGTTCACCAATGCGTCAATCAGGTTTTTGCCGATGTCGATCAGTACGTAGCTCAACTTCATCGATTGATTTATTCACAACAATCTGATGATCTGATACTACTCTTTAATAACACTAACCAAACGAATACTGCGTGGCATACTATGCAAATAGAGCGTGCTCGACAATTGTTTCCCACTCAAAAAGAACTGAAGGAAAACAACTTGTTGGAAAATTATTGTCTATATATTCGAGAAAAATTAACACCAAAGCATAACATATCGATTGCAAATCGAAAAACACAATATCGTGAAAGCTCATTCGACTTAAATTTTGCCTATACGCAGGCCGAAAGTAAAGCAAAAGAATATCTAAATAATGTCATAGGAAATTTTCGAGAGAGGAAGACACCCGACTTGAAAATCATTGACGAAATGATTAAACTAGGTAAATACATATAAAATATAATTTTATCATTTATATGATTGTCTCCCTTTAACATTGAGTAGGAATAGCAGATATGAAGAAGATCCCATCGACAGAGGATTTTCAAGCAAGTAATAGTTTCTTGGGAAGAGTATTAATTTTTCATCAGATCAAAGAAGCATATAAAAGTATTTTACAAAATACAAGTGATGATTTTATGCTGCTCCGCTTTGGCAAAACATTCGGTCATAATGCATTACCAAGCACACAACAAGTTAACAAACAATTTTTTTATCTTCTACATTTGTTCCTTAAGTCAATAGCAATGTTATTTACTTCACTAAGAACAAATGCAAAGGACAATATGATATTATCAATTTCGAAAATTGCTTCCCTTTACGTTTTCGATTCTGATTCTTCAATAACGAAACTAAATATTGATCTATTTTCTCCAGAATCAAATGTTGACCAATGGACCTGGCTGTTAGAACAATGGCGTGATGTATTAAGAACGATGCCTATGATTTTTACACAAGCTGGTGCTTTTAGTCGTCTGGTTCGTACAACTATTGGTATTGGCCTCATGCATCTCGGTAAATGTGCTGAAGAAATGGTTACAACTGGTTGTTTATCGATGAATGCTGAATTGATGAATGAACATCTATTTTATGCCCTTCAGACAGGCTTTTATTTTGGTATTGCCTATGCTGTAGTTGATTGCCTGCAAGATGAAATTCATAATATCGATAGTAGACCATTGCATCATTTTCTCGCCTTTGATAAGGACAAAAGCAATCCACTGACACTGACGGAAACAATTGATAAGTGGCTTCATATAATGGAGCAATTATTAAGTGGTGCAGATCTTGATCGAAGTCAATTACCTAAGACTCCATTCATATCAATGCTTATTGAATCTTTCGATAATCTTTTGATATTGACAGAATCTAATGATACAATGTGCGGATCTTTCAATGAACTCGCTCTTCTCTTACGTTCACAGAGAATTGACAAAAAGGAAATAGATCAATATTATGACAACGAGCAACTTTATCTAGGTCAGTTCTCAATCCTTTTTTGACTTTTTGAAGAAAAATATACTTTGATCATGTAGGATCTGTTCTCAAGTCGCATTTTACCTATACATGTACGACTCATCTTGGCAATATGAGTTCAGCACGTGAAGAAAGTGAGCGTCTTTGGATTATGCCGTTTTTAGGACAATTGACAGATGATTGTCGAGATTTTAATGATGATATTAAATCGAAATCAGTTACTCCTTTTACATATTATGCATCATTAGTAAAACGTAAAGAACCGATTGCTAATCGTTTACTCAATCCATTCTATACATTTCTGAATGTTTGCTCAAATATATATTTATCAAGCAATCGCGATAGTCAAACAGGCGCATTTCTAGGTCGTCGTATTGCTCGTACATTACGTTCAGTTGAAGTGACTGGTGATGAAACATCATTTCTTCAGTTTCTCAATATATTTTGTATGGACAACAGAGTCTTGTATGATTATTGTTGGAATAAACTACGTAAACAATTTTCTGTTGTTACCGATCCTGAAAAAACCTTCTTTCGAGCATTAGATGCTTCAAGTATTAAGTATGCTCGAATAAATCGAAAATTAGAAACATACGTATGTGAAAACTTAGTGAAAATTGAGGATGCATTAAATATTCTTCCCTTACATTCTCAAGATGAGACTATCTTCGAGGAAGAACTGTTGGTTTCAGCAATGAATTACAGTGTCAAAGTTGGTGGTAAACGTTTAAGACCATTATTAATGCTAATGGTTGCTGATTTGTATGATATTGAAATGACTCGAATATTACCATTGGTTTGTGGTATTGAATATTTGCATACATCATCATTAATTTTTGATGATCTTCCTGCTCAAGATAACAGTGATTTGCGGCGTGGTCAACCGTCTCTGCATAAAACCATAATTAATGGTGACATACCATATAATTTATGTGAAGGTAGAGCTCAACTAGCCGCTGTTGATCTCATTGCAATCAGTATGGGTTTAATTAATCATGGTCTTGTCAGAAATGGATTCTCACCTGAATACGTCAATCGAGTTGTCGATGAAATTTCTTTGTTGATGCATGATCTTTGTATCGGACAAATGATGGATTTACGTGCGGCACGTATTGGTATTGGGGAAGACAATAGAGAACTCGATAAACTTGATCGAATTGCTTGGTTTAAGACGGGTAAGACAATTGAAGTAGTAATGATTATGCCAGTCATTCTTGTCAAACCACCATCAGATGAACAGACCAATGAATTATCGCGTATTCGGGAGCTGAGTCGTCTCATGGGTATTTTGTTTCAAATGCGTGATGATTTGTTAGATGTTGAGGGAGGTGATGCTATTGGAAAGCCAACAGCACTCGATGTTAAAAATAATACAGTTACATATGTGTCATTACTTGGTGTCGATGGCACTCGGCATCGTCTTCAACAACTTTTAACCCAAGCATTACAATTGGTCGATGATTGTTGGCCGACAGGTTCAGAAACAATTAAAGATGTTATTAAATATGTTGTTAATCGGAAAACATGAGTACTGTTGTCGATTTCATCGTACTTTTAAGACACCTTGTCTAAATTATTTTTATGTTCATAAATTCATGTCATCAGAGTGCTTGTTGCTGATTAAAGAACTATAATAAAAATTTGAAGACAATAAATCGAAGCTTATTGAGATATATTAGTTAAATTTTCTCATAATTTTTACTCGTATAATTATTCTATAACAACTAAAAATTAATGTGTCATATTGCTGAATCTATGCAATCAAATTTCGACAGTGATGAGTAAAACTCATTATCAACGCAACGTTCTCGACAGAAAAGATTCTAACAGACTCATTAGAAATGTATCATTTTGTTATAGTGTAAGTTCTTCTAAAACAATGAAATATATTAGTGTATATTATGATTTTTCTTGACTTTTATTACTCAATGAAGTAGAACCATCTATATATAGAGTCCTATCCTATCTTCATTCATTGGACTATAGCTATTTTACGCTTTTTATTAGAGGACGGATTACAAAGATCAATAATAATAACCTTTTAATCTGGATGAAAAAATGCATCTATAGCTACGACAACTATACGAGATCTATAAAAAAAAATGAAAAAATCAGTCCACTAATCATCGGATAGTGTTGATAGTCAATGCCTCCGATAGAAACAGAAAGCATATTAGTCAATGACTTGCAAATGTAACTACTCAAGTGTGCATAGCATTTATTACTGTTAACTTTTATTATTTTGTTTTTGTTCTTCACTGTTATAAACAAAGTCATCTCTCGAATGATGTGATTAACAGTTGATCTATTTATTAGAATAAATATTTCCTTATTTTCTTAGACTGAATTTGAGAAAAATATGCATACTCGTTAAATCCTAATATTGTTGCCATTATTCTGAATGTGCAATTACTCAAAACATGAACTGTTTTTTTGTTGCATTTACTTATGGATCGAAAGAACATGATTTTCTTTATTAAAAAAAATAATTATAATGATTGATTCAGATTTTTTAGTATGAGCTGACATTTTTTAGCACCTTTTTTGGATAGTAAATAACTGCAAAGTAGCAACTTACCAGTTTCAAATGTAAGGTGCACACTTAATAATTATAATTGTTTTGATTTAAAATAGATAACAGAATAAAGATTATTTATTATAGTATCTTTATGATGTATCGAACTTTTTTTCATTTTAAGATTTTATTTTCTTCAACTAATAAAAATAGAAAATGATTCTATCAAACGAATGAGATCAGTAAAAAAAAAGTTACACCATTGTTCTAATTACATGCTTTTATTTAGCTATTCTCTTTTCTCAATACTAACACTTGGCCTGCATGAGTAACATTGATTGCAATCGATTCAGGAAGATAGAATGGTTCACCGTCCATATGTACCGGCATCGAACGAATTAGTTCAATTCGAACTTCACTGCATTGAGCAATGCGATGACCTCGAAAGCCAATATGAATTAAGGCCATCTGCATTGAATCCAACCCGACTACTTCAATTTTTCGATCACTAATATCTTGTCTTCCGATTTGTTCAGCAGTAGTAGATGTTGCAGTCGACTCTATGGTATTGAATGTGTATGGCGTTGTAAATCTGCTATCTTTAGAAATGTAATCAAATGAATCAACACTTTCAAATGTACTCGATTTGATCTGATCAAATCTATCACTTTCATTTTGAGTTGTACTACTAGTTAATGTTGCAGTAGTGTTTGGTAATGTTCTACTCCAAGGATGAGTTCCCGATCCATAACTTGGAATATTCAATAGAACAATAGTATGACAATGACGTATTGAATCGGTTAAATTTTTACCATCACAAATCAGTCGCATGTATGGGGTTAAATCCCATGCTCTCCATAAAGCAAACTCTCTAAAATATCTTCGACTAATATTCAGATAAATCAACTTATTTTTGAATGGTGATGTAAATTTCGACGGATTACGGTTCCGACTGTCGTGAAAATCGAGCACAACAGCTGCATCTAGTCCAAAACTTAAGTAATTAGTAAATCGAACATTTAAAGGAGTTCGATAATTTTGATAAGAAGGTCGATCAGTTTCACCAACGAACTTTGGATGATCGAAAAAACATGATAAACATCGACAAATATTTCTAGATTCTTCAGTAAGATTCGTTATTATCAATGGTTCAAAAGTGATTTGCCAGCGATCGAGCGCAATTGGTTGTGCATTGGGAATTTGCTGTAACCTGGTTAACAGTCGTTTTTCGTTGTAATACCAACCCCAGCCCAATACACGTGACAGATCATTGCCTGTGCCTAAAGGACATATACTTACCGGTGGATTATTCAGCGATGAATACGTGTCTGCAAGAATGCTGAGTATCCATCCCACTGTCCCATCACCCCCACATATGTAGATACGAGTATTGCGCAAGGATGAATAAATACTAAGAGCTTGCTTTACAGTTGTATCATTTTCAAGAAGAAAAATTTGACGTGGATTTAATAAACGAATAAGTTGACGGTAGATACTTTCGCCTTTTTGACCACCTGAAAGTTTGTTTATGAAGACAATCAGAGGTGTAATTAAAGAGTTGCTCTCATCAATATCATCGAAAAATCGAGCTTGAAATTGTGATGGAAAGCGAGATACACGACGTAGCCACTGCGGACGAACAATGATATTTCTATAGGAATAAATCCAAAGAAAAAATTTAGACTTATGTGACAAATTGAACTCACTTAAATTTGCCATAATCACATTTGTTCCGATCATCATCATCATCATCATTCATGTTTTTCCAACATTGTTGATGACAAAATCTTGAACACCATAGACATATGAGACCACTTGAAGATTTAAGACATTTCGAATCTGAACATCTTGGTGTGTGAATTGATTTCCTGTTTTCTTGTGGCATATGAGATTTGATTTGAATAGTTGAGATTCTTACATTATCACCAACAACCGTTCGTGGCATATTTTTTCGTTTGCATTGCATGCATGGCTTTCTCAATGACGAAACAAACGACCAGTGATGTCGATCCCATTGACTATGATCATTGGCTATAATGCTGTCAGAAAACGATGGACGACAAGGTGGAATGTAATTATGAACATCGGTTGTTTTTTGCAAGTCAGCAATATGATCTTTGTGGATTGATATTGTGCATGAACCACATTGAACGTATGTATTAACACTCATTGGCTGGGAAATTGTGCATGAAGCATAGGCACACAAAGAAACGGACAAAGAAGTAGTAGACCAATAAGGAAGCCAACAGTGAGAAGTAGAATGAGCTCTGTCACTCCAATCGACACCAAATGATAAAGAACGCTCAGATTCTACTAAATATGGTGTCGTTGTCAGTTTACTATGATAGACATCTGACAGATCAGTAAATATAATATTTTATAGCTAGACTAAAGACAATCATGTCATGAGACACTGATATTTGAATATGTACTTTACAACATTTAATTACAGATTAAGTATTTAGTAGAGAAATATTATCTCGAATAGTTTTTCAAAACATGTGAGAATTTCATTCTTCTTATTAGTAACAATTTAGAAGTTTTAAGATGACTCGATGTATTGATTTTGTAGAACTTTATAGAGATGTCCAGAATTATTGTAAACTAGCTTTCCGCTTTTAGATCTGTGCTGTTTTTTATTCTCTGCACCGAAAGAAAATACTGTTGAGATTAATGATTTCTTATTTGTAACAAGACAGAAAAGTTGTTGCTCAAAATGTGAATCAAGTGTCGAACATGAGTGATACAATCAGTCATGATGGTAGCTAAAGAAAAGGGCACATTAGAATTTCCGTGTCAGTATTCGATTCAGGTCAAAAATTACTTGAATTGAAATTCCTGTAATGTACTTTGTTTACTTAATTTTAAAGCCTATCAATGTATCGAAATTTATATCAGTATAAAGATATAGATTCTTCATAGTATGAAATCATGTCTTCATGTGCAGCTAGGAATGGTCATTTAGAAAAAAATTAGTTCAGCCGACTTTTTATTAAATCTTTTGTTGTCATTGTTCTCAGTACTCAATGAATAAATCAATCAGAAGTTCTGTACACAGTATCATCGAAATTTCGTCAGATTGGCTTTGTTACAAGTTATTATGATAGTTTGACTTTGACTTCATGCCTTGAAGTTTGAAAGAATAGGAAAATCCAACTTTCTTCATATAGAGTTTATTTATGTTACGAAATCAATTTTTTAATAGACTCGGAGTTTATTCGTAAGGTATCAATCACAGTCTATTGAGTCATAGAACTGACGTTAACCATCATAGATAATATCATACTCTATAGACTACTTGCACTACTGCATGAATTTCACTTACAAGAACAATAAAGAAACATAGTTAGACAGATAATTGGATTTCAAATTGAGCAGAAAATACTGACAGATTATTGGTATCAGTCTTATGTCTATTTCCATCGTAATCATCAAATAAAAATCGTTTTAACACGGCTCGCTGAAGATCTCAACCTATTTACCATTTTTCGTTAATAATATAGGTTAGATTGTATCTTAAGATGATGATTATACTTGATTTTTTTTCTCTTGACTGTCTTACCAAAATGAGTTGAATGGTAACTATTTGATCGACTATTCTTTGTCAATCGCCTACGTGAATCGAGCGTCACTTTTAAATAGAACCATCAAATTTCTCATATGTATTTATCGATATAAACTACTTAACAATAATTTGAAAACATTTCTTAATTTTGCGACATGCTTAGTTACTTCTTTGGTTAGCAGCAACATACCTATGGTCAGAAGACGATCTTAAACGTAAATCCAGCTGTTCATTATCATCAATTGGTAGTGAAAATGGATGATCGTTTAGTAATTCGATTGTTGTTACTGAGTTTTTCTTCAGTGGTTTTCTGTCAGCAATGACTGTATTTATTTCAATACAGTCTTTATCGAGTGGAAATCTATCGTCGTTAAATACTCCATAACAATCAACAATATCAGGTTTCCGATTCATATGCTACAAAAAAAGAAATCATTGAGTTTATTTTATGGTTTTTACCATTATGTAGATGTTTTTTTTTACAAACTTCGTTTATACAGAATAAAATTCATTTGGGTCATTTTTCTTATTTTGCTAATCCTTTTCTTTTCTGTTGTGTGACATGTTCCAACATATCACCACATTCGCATACATACACTGATCATTTCTGTCTTATTTATGTATGGTTTACGTTTATTCTTTTTATTTTCTCATATACTGAAATGTGGTACTCACATATATTCCTTAGGTTCGTCATATTAATACAAAATACATCAAGTGAAAAACCTTTAGTAGGTTATGGTTATTTTCCAAGGATAATTGTGCACTAGAGAAACGATCTCTTTTACTTATTTTTGCATCTCGAACGAAATGTTTTCTTTGTCTTACTAACATTCTTTTGTTTTAGTTTGCCTCATTGCTATTCGCTAGTTGTTTTTCACTTTCGTATTCCGTTTTTCATAATTTAACATTACTATAATATAAATTATTGATTTAATTAGCTCAAACCCTATTGTACATGTGTATTATATCTATAGTAGATCTCAACGCACTATCAAATTTTACTCCCTTATCTTTGACATTTGAAATATAAATTTTTATCGTCGAAAAAAATTAAAAACTACACTATTTAGAACATTCACAAACCTATGTCAGGTATTGATTTTTTCTATTTCTAGACAACCTTGAAAAAAGCTTCTTAGGCTTGTTCTCCTCGATTGTAATGGAAACGTACGCAATGCTCCTTGGCACTACTTTTCGTCATTAAGACCAAAGAAGTGTGGGAAATCGTAAAAACCTTGATATAAACTGTTTTTTTCTGCTACTTGCTTCAAAACTATTCAAGCTCCACGAAAAGAAGCGTCAAAAATAATATATAAAATAAATAAACAAAAATGGAGAATACCAAAAGATAAACGTCAAAGGCGACGATTCCGACCAATAGCAAAGTACAAAGGTGTTAGCATAATAGAGTGACATCTGTTGATACTAAGAATGTTATTTTTTTATCTCCCTTTTTTTTCTGTTGTATACGAAGCTGCAAGTCTTTATAGCTTTTTAGTAGAGATTGTATTAGTTACATATTTTTCCCTTTTGTTAGTAAATAAAAGTTACTAAAATACAGCAAAAGTATTTGCAACTTATGATTTCTCGTTCTATCAAGCTTCTTCAAGTTCCTAGGTAAAAATCATATATAAATATATGTGTCTATAAGATGTTTTTTTATATTTAACAATTATGCATATCATCGGTTCAACTGTACCTAGAGGAGGTGAACCATTTATCCTCTTAATAATAAGTATAAGCTTTTTCTGCTCAACACTTTTTTCATTTAAAAATCAGTTGATTTTGTTTTTTTCGGTCTCTTTTTCGAGGCATTTCCGATAGAATACATACTAGCCCTCGGATAAACTTGAACAAGACAATGTTTCGTCTTACAATAGGGGAGAAAACTCTTTTAAGCAGTTTTTCTTTTCTTTTTCAAGAAAAGGGTGATGTTGTCAACACTCAGCCATTGAAGCACTGATTATAGAGATATTGACACACATTGACACATGTGTACATGGAAAAATTGAAAAATTCGTGTGTCAGTGTCGACCAAAAAAAATCCTGAAAGTGTTTGAATTTCTGTGTCTTAGGAAGGAAGCTACAGAAATTCAAACACATTCAGAATTTTTTAGTCTTACTAAGGTCTACATATAGTCAACATATTATAGCTCATTTAACATCCTAGTGCATATCACATAACAAGAAGAATGAAAAGAGCTTTGCAACGCGTGCTCCCAAAAAATGATGAATTTCGCAGTGGCCATAGCTTGTTATGTCAATATTTGTAAGCAATATCAAAGCTGGAAGTTCGATTCAATGTGTTGGTACCTATATGATAAATAGAATCGTTCTAGATTTTTGATAACTATTATAAATATTGAGCGGATCGATATACCGATTCTACCAGTCTGCCTCCAAATGAGTGGTTCACTTGATAATGATTGATCAATTGTAAACCGATTAGAAAGTAAAAGATACGCCTCTACATCAATTGACTAATTCAAATGCGGGAATATTTACTAGAGAACCCAGGAAAAGAATAACATATAGTGATAGCTCATTTTTTTTCAAAAATATTCAATCATCGATTGTAAGATGTTTTTATAGAGACTACATCCAATCATTGTTTAAGTATTACTAATATATTATAATTGTTATGAAAATCCTTTTGAATAAGATTTCCGAGAATGAAATTTGTATAAATTTATAATCGATTCCATTTTCAAGTATATCTGTGTCTAAGTCTAGGATGTGACATCATTAAGGTGTCTCCTACGACTCTAACTAGGTGAGGATACAAAAGTTTTGCTCTACACTTCATCAATCTTTTTAGTTTGTGTTTCATAAAAGAAATTGATTATATGCAATTTTTTTATCAAAACAATAGTGTTATTGTGTTTTACAGACAAGCTAGCATTACACAATAATCATACCAGCCATAAATAGTTTTCTACTCAATGTAATTAAAGAAATTTCGTTCTTGAAAATATCTAGTTAAAATGTAAATAAGAACAATTCATTTCTACTCAAGAGTAATTGCTTGTAAATGATGGTTGAATAGAATGAAAGAATGTGGCCTTCTAGAATCAATAGAACCTGAAAGCAACACATTTGTTCGTTGCCATCAATACACTTTGCCTACACAACGTGGGTTGAATAAATAAATAGCGTGCAATAATGACACTTACCTTTTTTCATTCTATGTAGAAAAGATTTTTTTTATTTTACTTATAGACAACATCTAACATAAAATACATGACAAACAAGAACGAAAATTTATTTTTGTTCGTTTCTACAAAATAATGGCAGTCGAAAGCAAATATCTTACTTCTATTTTTCGAGTTTGTATTGCACAATTATGTTCACAGCATTTGTCTGGTAATCATCACATTACTTCCGAGAGACATAAAAACTAAATGTGTTTCTTCTCAATATTATTGAATGAAGAAGTGCATATAATATCACTTGTAGAAATGAAAAATTCTTGAGGTAAGCTGTAGATGACGCCAACAGCAGATTTGAGTGATAACAAACGTACTTCTTCCGGCAGCATTTTTTCAGATTTCTTTCCATGTTCCAAGTGTAACTTGAGAAACTCTACTGAATAGTAAAAATGGGATTTCTGATAATCCAAACATTGCACAATACTGATATTTCACCGTAGGAAAGATGCATCTAGTAGAAAAAAATTAGTAATGATGCCTCTAGAAGTGTGTTCCACAGCTCTATTGTCTTATTCCAAGTACTTCTCGATGAACTCTATCTAATGTTCTATACAGTTTTTGAAACTTATATAGTAAAACTAGCTTACGCTCGCCTCATATCGTTTTCGTACATTCATGCAACATACGTAGCGAAAATCATTCTAATAAATGTTTATCCGTTGCATATTTGCTAATGAGTTTGTGATAAATGATGAAGTATACAAGAGCTTCGAAGATCAGTTCTCGTTACTAAATAGAGATGAAAATACAACATCAGTTTGCACAATTGTGTCGACTTTATTCGAGTAAGAAGTCGATGTCTAATTCTTGAGACACTATGTCGATAGTACGAAACATTATAAGTTATATTGCTTTCGAAAATGATTCATCACTATGTTCTTAACACAAGCTCTGCAACGAATCACGTGAAGTACCAGAGACCGAAACGGGGCGGATTTTTTACTCCCCGCCCCGCCCCGTCGGAAACTTTCTCTCCCCGACCTCGCCTCGCCCCGCTCGTTATTTTTTTTTCTTCCCCGCCCCCGCCCCGCCCCGCTCTATATTTTTTTTGCTTCCTCGACCCCGCCCCGCCCCGTTCTTCATTTTATTTTGCTTCCCCGTCCCCGCCCCACCCCGACTTTTCGTTTTCACACATATGAATTTCCGGTGTAAAATCGAAAAATAAGAAAGTTTTACGGAACTCTACATCATTCTTCCAGGCCCCACCCAGCCTCGCCCCGACTTAAAATATTTCCGGTCGCCCCGTCCCCGTCCCGCCCCGACTAATTTTCGTTTGGTTTCCCCGTCCCCGCCTCGCCTCGCTTTTCTTCTCAAATTCTCTCCCCGCCCCCGCCCCGTCTAATAAAAAAGCTCCCCGCCCCGGGGCCCTGCCTTGATTCCCCGCCCCGTTTCGGTCTCTGTGAAGTACTCGTTCGACACATTTTTCATCTTTTCTACGACTATAGACGAAATTCTTCAAATGAAAGCGTTTAGATATACAGAATGTGAATGCTGGATGGGCGTCGGCGTCTTCGTCACATATTCACATCCATTGGTAAAGTAAGCCAACAGTATTCTGCGATTTGTTGAGATAAGATTGAAATTTATGAGAATTTTATTATACCATTAGATAAAGTTCGACGAGAGCTACTTGAAACACAGGAGAAAAGAGATCTGGATCATGTTCCTGTATGAGTCTCTCCGGGTATGACTCAAATTTCATGCTAATCTCACCTTTATTGAGCTAGACCTTGTATGATACTCAATGTATTAATTGTAATCACTTTTGCCTCATTATTGCTGGAATCGCCACAATAAAAAAAGCTACTATTTTAAGCATGCAGATCTCAGTTCACTTTAAAATAATATCTAAAATATGTACAAATATGAAATTTCAAGTTATGTCTGCTTAAAATTCAAGAAAATTTCCTTTCTATCTCAATTGTTCATAAGTTTATTCGAAAAAATTTCTCATTTAACTGCAGTGATAGACAAGACGAAAATCGTATTTCTGGGACAATCTTTCACAAGTTTCAATTTTTGACTGTCAACTAATACTTAGGGGTATCCAAAAGTAGTGGCAACGACATTTTACTGCCACTTAGTAAGCTTGATAAAAGTTTCTTTTTACACAGGATGATAGAGAAAAAAATGCTCTTTCTTTCTATACTATTTGATCATACTTCACATAATATAATGGTAATAAATTTCCAGTAAGATTCGTTTCGTTATCATTCGTGATCGTTATACTGGTTTATAACGGGTAGGACAGGTTAATTTTCCATCCCTTAATACATTGCATCAATGATCGAAACATACCGTAAGATGCAGCATGAAAAGCTCTACAATTTACATAAGAGCACTTATTCCATAATTGTACTTTTTGTTTTCAAAGTGGACAAAACTTTCAGAGATCAGATTTTGAGCATTGCAAAAATTGATCGCATAGAAATGTGCTCTTTTTGAAAGCAATTTACTGTGAAGATTGTACAGCTTTTCACGCTGCATCTTGTGTGTGTTTTACTTTTCTACTAATAAAGCATTTTCGTAATGGAACGATGACATAACAAAAAATGAATTCGTCATGTATCAAAAAAGTTATCTTTTCCCCATGATAGGCGCCTGATCGCTAAAAGGTTGTCCATTCTAAACACACAAAGTGCAACTATAAAATACGTAGTCATATGTAGATTGTAGAGCTTTTCACGCTGCATCTTTTAGTATATTCTGCTTCTTAATAGAACACATAAAAAAATTGAAAACTGCAATGCAAACTTATAACGATCACGAATGATAACGAAACGAATCTTACTGGAAATTTATTACCATTATATTATGTGAAGTATGATCAAATAGCATAGAAAGAAAGAGCATTTTTTTCTCTATCATCCTGTGTAAAAAGAAACTTTTATCAAGCTTACTAAGTAGTAGTAAAATGTCGTTGCCACTACTTTTGGATACCCCTAAGTAAATATCTGATGAATTCCGAATTAAACTTTACGTTCTTCATTAAAACCAAAATATCATTTTTTTTCTAAACAAACGACGAAACGAAACTCATATCGAATTATGTACGAATTTCGATATAATCATATTCAATTGAAGTGATAACTGATACAGTTTACTAAGAGAACGAAAGGAGAATGTCGCAGTTTTGAAGTTCATATATTTGGCTATTTCTAATATAGCTCCTCCAAAAATAACTGAGCTGCGCTGATTGAAAATAGCACCTTTTGTAAAAACTTAAGATCTCCATCGAATAAGCTTTATTGGAAGTTTCCGACCTTACATAAGACGAAGAAAAAAAACGATTAAAAAAGTGTTTTATTCTATATACACGACATGTTACATTGGCTATCTCTACAGAATTTCAGAATAAGTTTCACTCTACTACTCATAATCATATGTGAAATTCGATTCTGATAAAAAAATTTCACGTCGGAATTCGAAAAAAAGAAAGAAACCGAAACAACAAAAGCTCATTTATTGTAGCGTTTTAATAGAATATTTTGTTCGATTAGTGTCGTCAGACTACCTACTGACATTACTAAAAAAGTCTAAAATATTCTTAATAATGTACGAAGTTACTTTTCTAATTACAATTATATAAAAAGACAAAATAACACTTTTCTAAAAGAAAGAGTGGCATCGTTGGTACTGAAGAACAAATAAAAACAAAATAAAACAATATAATCCATTGTATTAATTAACTATTTTGCTTCAGAACAGAACAGTAAGGGAATGGTATTAAAAAGTATAATTCGTTATATCATAAACAGATATCTGAAAAACTATATTGAACAATTGGACGATGAAAAATTGAACTTCGACTTAAGACATGGTCAGTTTATAATTAATTGTCTGCTTAAATTTATTATTTATTTTTCCACAGGACATGTTAGCTTGGAAAATCTTCGTCTAAAACCAGAATCATTGGTGTGTAAAAATAAAATAATAAAAATTGCCTTGTACTATGTTTTCTAATTGATTCAGGCTGATCTCAATCTTCCTGTTGCAGTGGCTGTTGGCTATCTAGGTGAGTTCATTTTTATTCAACGCAAAAAAAAAAAATTGAAATGTTTATTGTAATTACAAGAAAAATTGTCATTAACTATTCCATGGATGAATCTTCATTCTAATTCAACGAAAGTACACGTTGATGGACTTTATATTTTAATTGTACCAAAAAATGGTGAGTGACTTATCTTTATCATTGATCAAGTTTTGATTATCATAAAATCTAAAAAATTTAAAACAATGTTCGTAAACTCATATATAACAAAAATCAAGACAGATTTTCAAAACTATATATTGGAGTTGAAAACTATATCCTTTTAAAATTATAGTTATTTAATGGGTCTTGTTCTACTTTAAAAAAAAACTAAATAGTTTGTTTTTTCTTGTTGTTTGTCTATAGAATTTGGCCAAGATTTAACTGAATATCATGCGAACAAAATGAGACGAGTACAACGTAAAGTTGATGATTTAAGAAAATCAATGTTAGGTCAGTTTATGATATTCTCTCTTTTCTTTTTCTAATTGTATCTATTGTAGAGAATAAAAAATTGGATGAAAAAGAAATGACATTTTTCGAACGTATGCGATTACAGATAATGAAGAATATTGAACTTGTTGTTGAAAATTTGCACATTAGTTATGAATCGAAATCGACAACTAAACTGGGACATCCGTTTTCATTTGGATTAACATTTCGTTATCTTAAATTAATTGTAGGAAATTTTTAATAGATTTCAATAGCAAAAAAAGAATTATGTTTAGAAAGGAAACGATCTCAGAACGAAACATCGAACAAAAGAGATAACACCGATTATCTATACGGTTTGTTCAATAGAAAATTTATCTTTCACTATTGTTATTATTGTTATGATAGTTAAAAGAAATTAATTCATTATCAATATATTGGAACACAAAATGCAAATCAAGAGTAAATATACCATTTAATATTGTTGTGGTAAGTTGAATTTATAACAATTCAAACATTTTCTCTTTACCAATAAATAATTAAATCAGTAAAAAATTTTTGTTTAAAAAACTATTGATAAAAATATTAAATATTTCTTCAAATATTCTTAGTTGTTTTTTGCTGGCAGCAGATATATTCTGTATAACAACTCGATATATTAGTATATATAGAATTTTTCCTTTTGAAATATATTTATTTTTCTGTTTAATGATTAGATTTCACTTCGAACCGAAACGAATATGTTCATTCTCCTATAAGATTAGAAAGTACCACTAGAATATAACTAATGCGAAACTTTTATTCAGTCGAAAATGTGCATTATTCTCTTTTTCCACCGTCGTCACTCTCTTTCCCAAAACAAATACTAGGGCTGTAGTACTCGTCTGAGGAGCAACTTAAGAAATATCTTGTGAGATTTTTCATTCATGAATTCAGCTTTGATCAATACTTACATGAATAAAGAAAAAGTATTTTTTAGTGTTATGTAGAATATGTACAATATATAGCAACAGAGAGAAAAACAAAAACTATATTTGGCAATATTTTTTCATTAAACTTATTTGTTGAATATAAAATTGAATAGGAATAAATCTGATGGAACACAAAATTCTAAGTAAACATTAAAAATAAATGAAATAGTTCAAAATGTTGATTTGCTTTTGATAAATAAAACAAAATAAATATATAAGAAAATGATATTTAAATACTTTTTTAAAGTTCTATTTTCTCTTTAAAATTGTAAAATAGACAAACATATAGTTTTTAATTTGTAAAAATAAATGAAAAAAAAACAATGATAGATAAATGTTTATTTAATATAGGATGATTTAAAATCAAATATAAAGATAAACGATTCCAAAGTCAACGATAATGAAATGAACTATAGTTAGTATAAATCTCGATTATTATATTCTAATATATTATTCTTGTCATAGTTCTATATCCTATTAATCTTAATGTTAATATGGTTATTATGATAACACCTGGTGAACATCATTTTGATCGGTCAACATTTAATATTAATACTCTTATTGAACAAATCACTGCTAATATTGATTCAAAACAATTTTCTGATTTACTTGATTTTGGAAAATTTCAAAATTATAGTACACTATACGGTATTTTAATTATTTTCAAATTTATTTATTTTTCATTTTTCAATAGTGTTCATTATTATTTCTTTTTAGAACGATGTCGTGAATATCGTCAATTACATTTGCAAGAATCACTTCAAAATACATTATTGACCGAAGAACAGAAAGATCGTATTAAGGTAATAACAATCACTTAGAACAACACTTCATCGTTAATGACACAAATCACAATATAGAGACAATTGAGATTTATTATCAGTCGAAACTATATGGATTTTTCTTCAGTTCTAAGTAACCTATTTGGAAAAAATTAACCGTTACAGAATTCTTTTCAAGTAGAGCTGAAAATTGAATTTTTTCTAAATATAATTCGTTTAGTTTTGAACAAATTTTAACAATATCAGGTTACTTATTAAAAATCATTACTGTATCGAACAACACGTTAAGAATAGTAATACTTATGTTATTTAATTCGATTTCCCCAAAATGTCACTTTTAATCAGAATCAAAACAATAAATTTTAAATCGGCCAAGTATTCGACATCAGAATTCAATTCTGCATGAAATTATTTGTTTTGTCAACTTTTTTTAATCAAGAAATATTTGAGAAAACGAATATCTAATTCGATGCTAATTCTAAATAAATCGAAGTAAGATCATACAAAGGAATCAGAACGGTGATAAACATTTTATGTTCTCAAAATACTGTTCAGTAGAACTTTTTCAGTTCTATTAAGAAATGTTGTTCATAAGCTAGAAAAATACACACTATGCGAGTTTCTTTAGATCTGTTGAATAAGTATTTGAGAGATAAAATATCTTCGATGTCTAAATCACAAAATGGTGTGCATGAATAGTTAATATGAAATGTCTATTCTGAATTTGATTTAGATTATTTTATCTCAATAAATATGTAAATCAAACAAATGAATAAAAGAAAAACTTGATTATCGTTAAGATATTAGCGGAAAAATTTTCATAGGAATAAATTTGAGTAAAGGAAATATAGTTTATTTACATTTCATTATCTGACAATGTTTTTATTTGTTAACATATTTCAGATTAAAACTATTTCATTAGATCGATTATCGAATCTAGATTTAATTTTTATAATATAAATAATCATCTTTACATTTATTTTTAAGAGTTACTTTTTGAAAAAATCATTATCTAACATCGTTGAACTAATAATATTATTTATTATTTCCTGAAATAATATTTATACCTTTTTTTGTTTTTGTTTTTGTTAAGATTCTTGAAACAAAATTAGATGTATTCAATTTGGCATATATTCGTCATAGTGTTGAAATCGAGGTTTTTTATCTGAATTATTTATGATAATTAATAATATATTCTATAAACACAGATTGAAAATAAAACAACAGATTCATCATTGGAAAATACTCAAAGAAATAATTATCATCGATGGAATTGGTGGTGGAGAAAAAAACATAAACATCATCATAATCATAGTCATTATCACAATCATAGTATGTATCGATTAATATTGATAGTCAATCAATATACTATTTATATTATATGAAAACGATACTTTTTTTAAAACAAATTAATACATATTAACCTTCTCTATTAACTTGTTCTGTTTGAAATACTGAAACATTTATTATTTTAACAGGTAGACTATCAGAAAGTTTTATTTTATTTTAATAAAAATAAAAAAAAAAAGAAAAGCAAATCATCAAATATTAAGATTCCAGAGAATTTAATTATAGAACAATGAATCATTTTATTTTTTTGATCAAATAAATAAAAAGTCCGTTGAGAATGAAAACTAAACTTTCCTTCTAATTGTTAATTTTCTAGTTACAATCATCATAACATAACAGACTACCAACGACAAAAGTCTTGAGAATCGTATTTTTGATGTAACTTTTGATAGAGATAAGACAGAGAGTTGCGATTTTCACCGTTGAAAAGAGGAGATGAAGACGCATCGAACCATATATGACAGATTTTTCTAATATGTTTTCTGTCGCTTTTCAAATCAATTTTCTTAAAAAAGGTAGCAGAAAAATCGCTTTTATCAGAAAGAAAACAGGACAAAACTGATTTCTTTTTCGCAGGAATTGCTGGAAAATCGGTTTAGCGTTTCGAGTAGAATACCTATAACTCCTGAACGATTGAAGCTAAACATCTGAGCGTTGTGCAGTTTTATAGATCTTCAACTGGCGGTTTCAATGCACACCAGATGATTAAAAATTCACCGTAGTCTCCTATCGAATACGTTGTTTTTCTGAAAGCTGAATTGAAAAACCTTAGCAGAACCAGGTCAAAAAGTCTGTAACGTACACTTCCATGCGTTTTCACCTCCTCTTTCCAACGGTGAAAACCGCAACTCTCTGTCTTATCTCTATCAAAAGTTGCACCAAAAATACGATTCTCAAGACTTTTGTCGTTGGTAGAGAGATAAATCACTTCTCGAAAAAATACGTAAAATAGACAAACTCGTTTATTATTTACACAAAGTATCATAAACCATTGTTAATCTACTCCGAGTATATAATTATTATCTTGATAGATATCGAAAGTGAACGTTTAACCAGAGAATAGTGTATAAAAATGTTATGATAAATCATATATAATTATTTCGTATAGTCGTTTGTTGCTAATATATATCGATAATTGTTCACCTTTTTCAAAACTTTTAGTTTTTAATCAACAAGATTATCATGTTACAATTCTATAATAGGAAGATACATAAGACAATGATATTATTCTGTGTCTTATTCAAGGGGGAAAAAGCGAGACTTCATACTTCACGTACTTCACCTGTACTTCACTGTACTTCACCTGTACTTCACTTGTACTTCACCGTACTTCACTCGTACTTCACTGTACTTCACTTGTACTTCACTCGTACTTCAGAAGTACGAAGTCTCGCTTTTTCCCCCGTTGGTCTTATTCCTATTAAATAATTCTTACAAATATATATATATTGTTTTTACTCTTCAAACAAGTTGATTTGTTTTTTCATAGAAAATATGTATAAGACGGACTAATTTAGGTTGATTAATTGAATTAATTAATATAAAATTTGAAAATATCTATTTCGTGTTAATTATTGACAGATGATCTTCTAATATAGTTGAAAAATTTTGATCCTGTTTGAATAATTATTTTGCATTTTTAGTTCGAGTTTAAAATCATAGTTAAAGTTATTATTTGAAAAATCATTTTAGTATGATCTATTCATATAAACAATTTCTATTGAGATTTTTCCTCGTATAGATTTTTAAAATAATGAAATAAAATTTTCCAATTCCAAGACACTTTTGTTTTTTTAATAAAAGAAAAAGAGAAATAAACATATTGAAGATTTCGTGTTACATCGAGAATAAATGATAAAGAATGACATTAGGAAAGTAACTGTTCGTTTTCTTTTTTTGTTTTTGTTTTCTGATGGATTTTTGAAACTGTTTTCCAAATGTATATATATAGATTATTGTAAAGATGAATTTAACTTTAAAGTGTCTTGTGTAATAAAGAATTCTCTTAGTTATCAAAATAAAAGTAAAAAATTTCAATTGTATTTAATGAGTAATTTTGAAAAATTTTTATTAAAATAATATTTATAATAAGTGACAATTAATCTATGTTTTATCTTATGAAAAAAAATTATCTTTTCAAATTTTTCAATTAAAACACGATAAAGTGAATATAGAATTGAGTTGAATGAAATGATTTATATATTCTATTAAATTCAAATCAAATAATATTTGTATTATTATTTGTTAAGATGAAAGAATAATGTCAATAACATCATTGGAACCATATCATGATGATGGATTTAGTTTTTATTTTGAAGATGTAAGTTAACTAAATTGTTTATCTATTGTTAATGTTAACTATATTATTTTTAGTTATCAAATATAATAATTGATATAAGAATAACTAGACTTGATTTAAATTTAGTATCATCATCATTAATAATAAATAAGTAAGTAAGTTAATATTGAATTTAATTGAATAATAAATATTTTTAGTTGTTGTTCATCTCAATTAAATGATAAAATAAATCAAGAAATCATAGCTCATGTCAGTGTAGATGATGCGAAAATAAATCTTATTAAACGATCTATTTCATCAAGTTTATTGTTAAGTCAATTTGAATATATTTAATCAGTTTTTTTTTATTCTAATTTTATTTTTCTTATTTCATTTTTAATAATAAAGATTTGAATTGAATTTTCCAAATTTTCGATTATATGGTATTGAAGATAATAAATCAAATCGTCGTTTATTGGTTGAATCAATTTCAAAATGTTTTTCTCCATTATTACATATTCAATTCGAATTATTTCCAATAAATAATAAACGATCTGATTATCGTTTTCATTTAAATATACAACCAATAAGAATTATTTATCATGCCGTAAGTTATACTATTAAATTTAATATTGAATATTCGGAGAATAATATTGAATAAGTATAACAAGATTTTAAACAATATATTCACTAAAATAAACTTCAATATAGATTTATTTATTTATCCATGTCTCAATATGTATTTCAAATATTACATAAACATGTTGAATTTAACTATCAATAAGAAAAATAGTTACCCTCATTAAAAACTTTGAATGAAGATTAGATTTTTCTTGAGCAATTCCACACAATTTCATTGCAAACATTGGTTAAATAATCTTTTATTAAATACTATTAATTGAAAAGTTTGTTGAAAAAAATGTTAAATTTTTCTATGTTAATCAGATTAGATTGATCACTAGCACAATATCGAACTATGCGCTTTATCTTATTGAAGATTTTCCTCAAACGAAGTTCGACTAGAGATAGAAACTTAATTAGATAACGATTTTATTAAATGCTGTTTGATATAACATAATGAAAAATAATTCGACATATAAACAAAGAGAAGAAAAAGAATATCGTCTGATTATTATCAAATAAATATTATTGTTTGGATGCTAAATTGATTTCATTGATTTATCCATAATGTAGATCCTAAATATTTGTTATTTGTTTGATATATTTTCAATCTAGGCTATGTTTAATCGTATTGTTGAATGTTTTGAACCGAATATAAATCAAAATTCATTTTCATTGTCTGAGTATGTTTACTTGTTGATTTAATAGATAAATAAAAAAAATGTTTTTCGAATATTTCTTTAGGATAAAACAACGTCAATATGACGAAATGGAAAATGATCTCTATTATCAGAAAGTATTTGACATGACAATTGAACTAAATCATATATCAATTATTTTTCCAAAAAATGGTCATTATAATCAGTAAGTTATTTTATTTTCTAAATATTTTTATTTTTTTTCATTTATTTTTAGAAATACTTCGATGTTTAATATTGATTTTAGACAATTAACATTAAAATCATGTTTAGATGAAAATCAAATCGATTCTCAGGTATATTTGATTATTTATTATATATTAAATAATATAGGATAGAAGATAATTGTCAAACATGTTAACAAATAATAATAATAATTGAATTTTAAAGGAAAAAAATCTTGAAGAACGATTCTATATAAAATATAAACTTGAAATAAATGATCTTCAAATTATATATTATACTTCAGGTAGTTTCATTTAATAAACGTTTTTATTAAAAAAAAAAAAACGAAAAGAATAAATATTTTCGATATTTAAGATGGATCACATTTACATTTATTACGAAAAACTCCATCAATTGATATTTACTTTTACAAATGTATTTATTTCGACGATGCAAATTTAGACGAGTAAGATTAATTCATTTAAATAAATTCGTTTAATAATCTATTTATTAGTTGGCATATTCATTTAAAAACAAATTCCATCGGAGAAACTCAAATCTCAAATAAAATTCTTCATGAAATAATTGATCATTTTAAATCAATACCACTATTTAATTCAACACTTTCGGAAATTCTTTATAGAATAAATCTTTATTGTAAATAGATTTATTTGTTTTTAAAATAGTTTTATTTATTTGTTTTTAATTTTAGTTGAAATTTTTCGGCCAAATACCAGCCTTAAAGGAAACATTTCAATTCATCAATGTTCAACTATTATTCTAGTTAATCCAAAAGTATCAATTAAAACTGGTCAGGAATTGTTTTCTTTTTTTTGCTTCATTGAAAAGTTAAGTTTTGTTGTTTTTTTTTGTAAAAGGTTTGTATATTTCTATATCAAAAACGAGAAAGAATATCGAAGAAATGATCATTATCTTAAAAAATTTAACAATGGCAACGATCCAGTAAATATTATTTGTTTTTTTATTATGGATTTTCTTTTGACTTGACGATTGATTAAATTTGTATTTTAGTAGTTTATCGAATTCGTTTTATCTGAACGAACATCTCAAATTGAATTATATTAATAATTCTACGAGATTACAATTAACAGATTAAACTCAATTGTCAGTATAAAAAAGTCTTAGCAGAAAATAACATATTGGCTAATTAATAATCAATCTAGTAATGTTGTGTTCAATCAATTACATTAAATCTGACATTTATTTCAAATAATGTCATTTTCAAAAATAAATCTTTGAGAAAAATATTTTTGTCTTTTTATCTGTTCTATATATAGAAAATGAAATTAATTACACATTTTCTTTCAGACCAAGTTTATAAATACGAATATACACATAAGAAATGTCTATAAATTGAAAAAAAGTAAATATATGGTATGTATCATAGGAAATTTGTGGATATAATTATATCATATGCGTCACACACTTTTCTTATTTCCTCACACTAGTCTCGAACGTATACTTATAAGAAACTGAAAAAACATACAGTCTTATCTACGAAAAAAAACGGTACTTTCACATTAATTCTAGTTCTATTTGTTTCGTCAAAAATATTTGCTTGTTGTCGTCATCTAATGAATGATATCGAGTTATGTTGCATTACTAGTTAATTTATATTCCTATTATGTATATTTTTAATGGTATTTGTTTATTGATGACAAGTAAAATTGAATGTGATAAATTATCAACATTTAATTTGGTATAGATATACGTTTGTTTAATCATAAACTATTTTCTTGTACTCTGGTTTTGTTAAGGATTTCTTACCGACTGATCTGAACTTTTCTGAGTCTTTTGCATATTTTTTTATTCGCAAATCAAACATTTAATTAGTGCATAAACCCTGTATGTTCTCTGTAAAACGATCGAGGTCTACAAAAAAAAAAACTCTAATAACGAACTAGAACTCTTGCGGAATTGCAATGTTGATCAAGAAGTAGATGTGACTTGCATATGATCAGGAAAATGAAGAATGACTCATATCAATGCAATGGTCGGCCTGGACCAATCTGGTCTGTTAAGAACGGTATTGTTAATGGAAAAACAATATCTAGTACAGACAATTTCGTACTTCTCGTGTTGCTTCTTAAATTTTATTTCATCCATAATAGTCTCTTCTCAAACAAGTTTATCTACTCAAGCAAAATAATCTACTTTATGCTAGAGTAAATATTTACTTCTATTTATAGTATACTATTGATTGTTAACCAAATAGATAAAATGTTTTTGGATACAAACTTATTTAATAATTGATACGTTGCTTATGCAAATGTCCACATGACTCTACATTGGTGTTGTCGTCGTTTCCGATACCTAATCAGAAATTGTGAATAACAATAGGTTTGTATAATAGCAGAAACGTCAGAACTGCACAGGTAACTGAAGTGTTTTGTAGTCTTGCATTCGTAGGGTCTGCTTCTTCCTTCTTACGCATCCTACTGAAATTGTGAAATTTCATGAAACTTCACTATACCTTAATACGATTTCCAAAGCTGATAAGCTTCATATAAAACAACTATGAGTCTTCCTAAGCGAAATGGTGCACTAATATGATTTTTCAACAAAGTTTCCAACAAAAACTAGTTTTTTATGGTAATTCAACACTTTTACTCTCAAACTGCTTTAGATATCTGGAGTTTTGTCCTACAAATGCATGAGTCGCGATGGAAATACTTCGCCCATCCATTAAAGATTTTCAAAAGCACAGTTTTGTATTTTCCAACTAGAAACATTTGAAAGATGCTTTCATTGTGCGAAAAGATCGATTGTAATCGATATAAAAGTAGTTGTGTTTGATTAACATATGGGTTTCTTTTGACCCATGCAGTTCCTAAGAGAAAGAACATGAAAGAATGTCGCCAAGTGAAAAGAAGATTGAATTTTGATGAGAGATTGTGATGAACTGTGTTGGATTTTTTGCGATAGTTGTTTGACTTGGTAGCTATTTAGCATCTTAGATATTTATGGCAGAGTGCACTAGATGGCTAAAGTCTGTATTCACTTCTTGCGAAATCACTGAAGGTTTCAGATGAGAAGAAAATTCATATACTCTATATTATAATGATACCAGTTTTCAATTAATAGTTTTTAGCACGTATGCAGCATCTTCGTCAGATTTCTACCAAGAAGCTTATTTTTATATTTTAATAAACAGAACTGATTTCTTGGATATCTTCGAACGAAAGCTAGGTTGAGTGAAAACCGTGTGTATTAATGCTTAAGGTATACATCAAAGAACAATCGAAAATAGCTCATTTGGTTTCCTGGAAAATTTTTTTAGCCTTCATTCAATAGTTTCAATTGTTTTGTTTGAAAGAGAAAGTCTGAAAACTCTCAAGAACGGTAAGAAATGCTATATTTGTGAAGTGTTGGAGTATCGAATCGTGTTTTTCTTTCTTGATGCATATCTCACGAAAACATCATGGTGTAATGCTAAAAACTTTAGCTTATCGTTAAAATTTTACAAAATTTGAATTTAGATGACCTCAAAAAGATTTTGAGAGATAGTGACCATAATATTGAGTTTGAATAGTCCTTGATGATGTATAACTCACTTAAAGTTAAGAGCATGATTGGTTTTCGAGAGCGTAATACTGTTTCATCCAATTTGTATTCGCCAAGAAGGCCTATTTGATGAAAGTATTGAGTTTTTAAAGTAAAACTTGACTAGAAGTTTCGGGTGCGGATGTGGGGATAGGTTTAGCTGAGATTTGGGATGTGAAAATGGTGTCACTGGTTTTAGTGTCAGGCTATTGCATTTCTTTCACTCGCATCCATCTCACACATGAAGATCGAGACTTCAGTCGGAGGTTCGGCATGTATGATGGTTCTCTAAATTCACATTTTCTCTTATGAAAAACGCAGTTTTAGGACAAATAACCTTAAAAGTATATAAAAATGACAAATTTTATCTAGTTGAATGTTGCTGTGAATCCGAAAGCCATATTGAACCTAGAAGTGAGAACCATACGATGGCGTATGTCGAATACAATTTGGAACTTGAATGAAGACCAGACACTGCTGAAGACTTGCCATGGAATGGAACCGACATGACCATGCTAGCGGTTCCACGCCATGACTGAAGTCGTGTTCCCCATGGATAATCACCATGAGAACTCATATTAGGACTAGCAGTAACGTTAGGGTCTGAACTGAAACTCTGCTTCCTACTAAACCGGTACAGAAACTGGAGGAAGAACTCGTAATACGTTTCGAGTCATTAAAGGAGACGTATTTCATAGCAATAACGAAGTCGAAACCAGGTCGAGAACTAGTGCTATCGCTAGTGCCAGAACTGAAGATGTAGCAGACCATGATATGAAGATCGGAATAGGAACAAGAACCGGCTGAATCTCCAGGGTCCAGAATCAAGTGGTATTCCTTAATGACACAGATGTCAGGATCAGGTCGAGAACTGGTGGAGACTCCTACGTCTAAACAAAACTGGAAGGACAACTGGTAAGAGCTATATGATCTGAGTTAAAGTTGGGTCTCGTCAAGAAACTCAGATTGCAAACCGGTGGAGAACTGATACTGACACTATAGGGCTGGAACAGAAGCAGTGCCTTGCATTAACTTCGAGATCAGAATTCGAAAGAAAATAGTTATCCATTTCAAAAAATAAAAGAAGGGTAAGTACCTTTGAATGGTTTTCTATAGCAATAAGATGAAGATCTGCAATTTTCACCGTTTCAATGCATAGATAAAACTGCATCAAATCGCGGAAACTAAATTGGTTTTGATAAGTTTTGTCAGGATCTCCTGCGAGCTTTTTAAAGCATCAAGACTTTTAAATGGGTTTTAAGACGAGTTTTTCCTAAAAAAATCAGAAAACAAAGTCAAGTGTTTGTGAAAAATTTGCCGATACCACGTAGAAAATGTTTATAATTCATGCGTAGTTGAACTTTACCAAATTGGATTCACACAAATTATAGTTGTGCAGTTAATGATAATAGTACACTATTGAAAATTTAAATTCTAAGCCTCAAAGGAAAACCGGTAGACTCCAGTGAGGTTATGTAGACATTCGAATAAACTATGTTTAGATTATTTAATAACGTTCTACTCAAAGAAAATCTTTTCAGATTTGGTAGAAACAGTACCTATATAAAGTAGAGTGAATAAAACTGGTTATACAACAGTAAGTGGACTAGTTTGCTGAAAAACATAAAATCGATAAAATCAAAGAAGTTCCACGAGAAGCACAAAACCCGACAGCGTTCCTCGTGTAGACCTTATTTTCTTCTCGTTGTTTTGCTGCATTTCTTATATTACGTAAAGATTACACTACATTGATGTTGACAACACTTGATCATAGAGTATTGATTAAAGATAATGGAATTGATTCCTTTGACACTTTAAGGCTATGGTTTTACGCAATTGATAAATCAGCATAACTAATGGTACATATGGTTCGTAGATTGCAGCCCACAGATCAAAGTACCACTCCATGTTCGTTTTGATTATGAAGATATGGTATTGATAATATAGCCATAGCGAATGATATATTTCAAAGATGTTGGGATCTATTCAACCCATATTTACACAGACATACAAGGATAATTGGGTTTTCTAAGTTTGAGAAAATAATGACCTATTATTAATTGAGATATTATTGACGAGGAAGTTTTGTTATTGTAGACGCTGATACCAGATATCTACGTGTCATGCATTTGATGAGCGATTTTCGTTGGGTTATATCGATCGCTCATCTGTATGATATCATTGGTAATGGAATATATACCCAGTTGCAAAACAATAAAAGAAGAAATTTTATCATTAAACCAGCACACATCTGGAGAATGGTTTCAATTCGCAAGGTTATGCATTAGTTTTTACAAACACGTGAGCATTATGTAAAATTTATTGAACAATCGTTCACTGCACCATGCATGATTTTTTTAAGGGCGCTCCAAAAGTGTCATCAGGTACACAATGAATTCGTTGACAATATGATTATTCTGGTTCATCACAAACTCAATATGAGACCGGCCAATTAGATATTGTACAATTTATCGCCAATGCATACGATGAAGTTATCCATATATTTGATAGCTTAGCGATGAAGACTTTGAAATAGTTGCGAATGATCATAAT